GCTAATGACTCCATGAGACATCAAGAAGCAAAAAAACAAAATCAAGAGAATGAAAAAATAGAAGAAAATGTGAAATATCACAGAGAGATAATTTAAGAATTATTGTAATACCTGAAAGTCATGATAAAAAAAAAGAGCCTAGACATCACCTTTCAAGAAATGATCAAGGATAACTGCCCTGATATTTGGAACCAGACGGTAAAATAGAAATTGAAAGAATTTGCCAATCACTTCCTGAAAGCGATCTCAAAATGAAAACCCTCAAGAATATTGTAGCCAAATTCCAGAACTCCCAGGTCAATGAGAAAATATTGCAAACAGCTAGAAAGAAACTATTCAAATATCATGGAGCCACAATCAGAATAATACAAGATTTAGCAGGTTCTACATTAAAGGATCAGAGGGCTTGAGATGTGATATTCTGGCAGGTAAAAGACCTAGGATTACAACCAAGAATTACCTACCCAGCAAAACTGAGTATAATCCTTCATGGAAAAAAAATGGATATTTAATGAAATTGATGACTTTTAAGCATTCCTGATGAAAGGACCAGAGCTGAATAGAAAATTCGACTTCCAAATATAAGTCTCAAGAGAAGCATAGAAAGGTAAAAAGGAAAAAGAAATCAAAGGGACTCAATAACTGTTTACATTTCTAAGTGGGAAGGTGACACTTGTAATTCCTAAGAACTTTCTTAATATTAGGGCAGTTAGAAGGAATACACACACACACACACACACACACACACACACACACACACACAGAGGAATATGGGCAGGCAGGGATGGGGGTGCTTTGAATATGATGGGATGATATCTCAAAAAAAAAAGAGAAAATTATATCTAAAAAATTAAAAGTGAGAAAAAGGAATGCTCTGGCAGAAGACGAAAGGAAGAAGTAGAATGGAGTAAATTATCTTACATAAAAGAGGCACAAAAGAACTTTTACAGTGGAGGGGCTGGGGGGGACGTGGGGGGAATGCTTGAACCTTACTCTTATTGGAATTGGCTCAAAGAGGGAATAATATACACACTCAATTGGGTATAGAAATTTAACTTACTCTACAAGAAAGTAGGAAGGTAAGGGGATAAAAAAGGAGGGGGCTGTAGAAGGGAGGGCAGATTGCAGTAGGCAGTAGCCAAAAGAAAAACACTTTTGAAGATGAACAGGGTGAAAGGAGAAAGAGTAGAATAAACAGGGGGAAACAGGATGGAGAGAAATAGTAATCATAAATGCAAAAAAAATTACATCAAATGTCTCTGACAAAAGCCCCATCTTTCAGATAGAGAACTATCAAATTTATAATAAGAGGCATTTTTCCATTGATAAATGATCAAAAGATATGAACAGATAGTTTTCAGATTAATAATCAAAGCTATCTCTAGCCCTAAGAAAAAAATGCTCTAAAGCACTATTGATGAGAAATGTAAATTAAACAATTCTTTAGTACCACCTCATACCTATCAGATTGGCTAATATGACAGAAAATGAAAATGATGAATGATTGGAGAGGATGTGGGAAAATTGAGACACTACTGCACTGTTGGTGAAGTTGTGAACTGATTTTTTAAAAATGTTAATTTATTTGTAGTTTTCAACAATCACTTCCATAAGATTTTGAGTTCCAAATTTCCTCTCCCTTCCTCCCCTCTCCCCACCACAAGACAGCATGCAATTTGATATAGGCTCTATATATAAATTCATATTGAACCTATTTTCACATTAGTCATGTTGTAAAGAAGAATTAGAACCAATGGGAGGAACCATGAGAAAGAAGAAACAAACAAACAAAAAAAAGAGAGCAAATGTTATGCTTTGATGCGCATTCAGTTCTTTTCTGGATGGGGATATCATTTTCCATCATGAGTCTTTTGGAGTTGTCTTAGATCCTTGCATTGCTAAGAAGAGGCAAGTCTATCAAAGTGAGTCATGGCACAATGTTGCTGTTACTGTGTACATTATTCTCCTGGTTCTGTTCACCTCACTCAGCATCAGTTCATGTAAGTCTTTACAGGTTTTTCTGAAGTCTACCTGCTCATCAT